CTTTGTTACAGATTTATTATCATTTTTTCCTGGTGAAGCAGGAAGGTTCCTTTATGGGTTGACCCCAGTTAGCCCATTAAAAGCTACTGAACCAGTATCTTTACTAATGTTCCTCCAAAAGCTCAAAGTTCCTGCACCCTGTGAGACCCTGAAGTGTCCTGGATCAGTTTCTGTTTCTAACTGAAACTGTCCAATCAGAAGCAAAGTGTTAGTTTTTAAATAATCATCAACTAATTCAGTAATCGATCAACTGACTGGTAAAAGCCTTTGCTGACAGAATCACACAGTCAGAGCTGAACAATAGATATAAATATTTTACATTTAAGGTAAAAACCTTCTGACTGTAAATCTGATCCCAGAACTCACCTGGTTCACATTCAGGAAATAAATCTCCTGTTGATTACCTTGTGGATCCAGTTATTAACCAATTAATCAATAGATCAGCTCTGCGCTGTAGTGACGTTCAGCTGAACTTCTCACAGGTTCCCGTTTGGACCTTTTAGCTGCAGATTCATCCTTTGCTATAAATGATCAAACTAAAGGAGTGAATCTGTTCTGCATGAAGTGTTTATTACTCTAACTCTTCCATCCAGATCAATGCTGGTTCCGACCTGGACGCACCCAGTGGACACCTTTGCTTATTTACATGCTTTGATCGGTATTGATCAGGATTGATTTCCTGCTGCTGGTATTAATAATTAACCAGCTACCAGCTTTTAGCTTCCCTCCATGTGGGAGCAATCACAGTCTGACTGCTGCAGATCAGATGTTATTAACAGATGGAAACCAGGTCAGCTCTCTCTCTCCTTCCTCGTTCGCCCTCTCTCTCGCCCGCCCCCCCCTCGCTCTCCCCTGATCTCATCCTCTCTGGCTGCTGACACATTCCTCTGCTTTCAGCCTTTATTGTTATCAGGAGTGTGTGTTGGATACTTTCTCACATGATGGAGCAGAGAGGCCCCCTGGAAATGACTGAATGTCTGCGACCCGTTCAGTACCGTTTGGTTCCATCTGGACCTCTGACAGAACCAGCATGCGGGTCATCAGAAACCTGCAGAGTGAAATGAGGTCCAACAACATGAAGTTTATAAAATTCTCCTTATATTGCTCTCAAGTTTGTTCATAGTGTTGTGCTAGAACCAGACAGAAAATAAAAACAAGATTAAAAGACGAAAACCTTTTTATTTAAAAGTCTGCAGCTGATTGGACCGAGTCATTTCCTCTGCAGATCAAGCATGAGGCGATAGTGGGAGAGAAAACACCTCCAGAACCAGAAGTCTGTTGGATCCTTGTTCTTCATTCAGTTTGCTGCAGGAAGTAGTCTTCCTCACCTCTGGACGAAGAGGAGTCTCTGATTGGCTGCTGGTCTTAACGAGCGTCCTTCCTGCTGTTGTGGTAAACATGGAAACGGTTCTGATCCTCAGACTGTAAACATCCAGGCCTTCCATAATCCATCAGGTGTTTAATCCTAATGGATTAATCACCTGAGATAATCTATAATTAATGAGTTATAGATTATTAGATATTAGCTAACCCCCAACATCAACTTTATTTGCTGGTAAACTTTATAAGTTGCTCCTTCAGGGTTCTGTCTTTGGATGTACGTCAGTCAGTGCTGCCCTCTGTGGGTTGAACTCTGGTACTGCAGCTGAATTTTCCTATTGGTTCCAGCGGTCCAGCTTGGTCAGTGTCACTAAGCCCCGCCTCCAGGTATCATCTCACTCAGACACACCTCCTGGTGGCGAGTCAGGAGGAGGAACAGCTAGCATTGATCCATGAATGATCCATGATCCTTGGATTTGGATCAAATCCAAGTGATGTGCATGGAGCTCCGCCCACTTTTGAGTTTTTCTACATGTGGGCGGGGCTAAATATTTTCAGTTTTTCTACATGTGGGCGGGGCTAAATATTTTCAGGGTGAGCTCCACTCTGATGATGCGACTCCCGGAGTATTGATCATCAAATTACTGATCATCAGAACATCTCTGGTTGATGTTTAATCTGGAAACAGAACCGATTCAGAACCAATAAGAACAGAGAACCGAGCAACCCGTAACATGTTGCTGAGTTCAGTCTGCAGGTCCAGTTCTGACGGGTTCTTCTGAAACGGGTCATAGTGAAAGTGGAGAGCCAGAAAACACCAGTAACACCAGTAACTTTATTATTATGCATCTCAGCCTTTTTCTGTTGATCTGGTTCTGTTTTCTCACAGTTTGGATCAGAACTGGTCGGATCCAGGCGGCTCCTCAGAGCAGGAGGTTCTGTCTCAGTATCCCTCACTGGACCAGGAGTTTAGTGAGGAATCACAGACTATTGACAGATTATTGATTGATTAGTGAAGAGCAGTGAAGTTAATCAGAACCGGATGGTCGGATCCAGAAGGTTCTTTGGTCTTTATAGAGGAGTCTGAGGACTTCAGGGCGGTTCTGTTTCTGGCCCGTTTATCTATCCATTCATCGTGGTAACCATAGCAGCCGCTAAGTGCATTAGCAGGGAGCAGCTAACCTGATTACAGGGAGAGAGTTCTGAGAGGAAGGAGGTTCTGGTTCTGACTGGGTCCAACTGGATCTGACCGCTACTCTATTTTTCCATCTGGTTTTCTGTCTGCTGAACATGCGGCAGCAGAACCATGTCTGGACTGAAACTCATTGTAAACCACAGACCCGGTTTTGTTGAACTGGTTCTGTTGCTCCGGTCTGGTGGACTCTGGTTCGGCTGTCGGCCCAGTAGAACCTGCTCAACTGCCTGCTGAAAGCTGGCCTGGTTTCCAAGGTTTTGGGTCGTTTCCTGTCTCTGTGTGGCAGCAGCTTCTGGATCAGAACCAGAGGATCGGGGTCTCTGGAGGTTCTGGTCCAACAGTGTCCTCCTCCTGCTCTGGGTCGGTGTGGTTCTGCTGGTACCAGGTCAGTTGGCTGCTGCTGTCCTACATGGCTGGCTGTGGCCTAGTTAAAGCTGCAGAGGCAGTGACGGATGACGTCCCGCCTCCTCTCCGACCCAGTTCTCCAGAACCAGCGGCGCAGTGCGGTGAAGGCAGAGCGGACCTCAGTGGGACCTGCAGCAGCCCGTCTGGTTCTGGTTCTGGACGGGCCCAGTAATAACGTAACGCTCAGTTTGGACCGGCAGAACATGGGGGAACCGTTTCCATGGTAACCTGTGGTTTCGCCGCCAGCAGAACCATCAGAACCGACCCGTCTGCTCCTGCTGCAGCCGGAGGTTCTGCTCTGATGCGAGCGGTTCTGGAGAGCGGCGTGGGCGGCTGAGAGCGGCGTGGGTTTCTGCAGTGCTGCGGTTGCCATGGCGATCAGCTGATGCTTGAAACTGAAAGAGCCGGAGAGCTTTCTGTCCGCTTGGATCAGAACCACAAAGCCTGCAGGCTCCGCGAATCATAGTTTGGATCAGAACTGTTCTCCAGAACCCGTAGATTTATCCCAGCGCTCCCAGTGAAACTCTGGTCTCCGGCCCAGTTAAAGTTCGTCTCCCAGTCGGGTCTTTGTGCCACTGTCAGCAGCATGATAAGTTGCTGCTGCCGCAGTGCATGCTGGGATGGCGTTACCATGGAGACGTGGCATTTTGCAGGGTGATGTCTGGTTTACTGAGAGACGGGACGGGATGGGCCGGACTGGACCGGTTCTGAACTCATGAACCTGAACCAATCAGATCCTCCATCAGTTTGATCTGTCTGCTCTCTGATTGGTCCTCAGAGATCAGATGGTTGATGATCTGGTTCTGATCCGGTTCTGATCCGGTTCTGATCTGGTTCTATTTATTAGTGAGAAGAACAATTGTTCTATTAGTTATAGAAATGAGGTTTAAATCATTTTTACATTGAATTGTAGAACAGATGAATATTTATTTCCATATTTCAGTGGACTCTGCAGATTGACCAATCAGAGGCCTTCATTTCCCCTTTGATGTTCAGTCTGGTTCATTTTGTTCTGACACATAAATGTGATGAAGTCATCAGAACTGAATCCAGATCTCCAACCTGCAGAAACGCTTTACTACTGCAGGCGGTTGTCATGGCACCTGGTGTGTGTGTGTGTGTGTGTGTGTGTGTGTGTGTGTGTGTTCTGGTCCCACCATCATTGGCATATTTCTAGCGTAGCAACACCAGCAGCTCCACTGACTGGTTGCCTCGCTCTGAGTGGGAGGAAGTCACCAAGTGTCCCAGCTGCTTCACTTCCTGCTCTGTCAGTCGGCTCCTCTGATTGGACGGTTTGAGGATCAGTGGGCGGGGCCTTCAATGAAGAGTCTGACTCAAACGTGGCAAAGAAAATTTGAACTGAAAACCTAAATCTGATCAGCTGGAGCTGAATAAAGAGGAAAAAATAAAGTTTTTAGATTTTAAAAAAAGTCTGCTTCTCTAAATTTTCCTTTCTTCCTTGAATTTTTAGATCTTTGTTTCTGTACATCATTCTGATTTCTTTTTGTACTTTTGACTCTGACTGTTTACCAACCAGGAAGCTTTACAGTTTATAAATCAGAGTGAATGTTGCCTCGCAACAGCAGGAAGTGCGTCTCTGCACAGCCAGGTTTCATCCTGCTGCTCTGATGTCCTGCAGTGACCTGGTTTCACCAGCAGGGGGCAGCGCTCCCGCAGCACTCAGGAAGAGCCATTTGTAGGCTAGAGTCAGGCTGCAGCCAATCAGAGCAGAGCTCCAGTCACATGACTGGGAACCAGGTATAGAAACATCAACAGATGTTGACCTGGGAGGCTGCTGCATTAAACTCAGTACACCCCATGATCCAGCAGCTCCTGGTTCTGTGGTTCTGGTCCAGATCAGCTCACGGAGGTTCTGCTCAGCTCTCCCACCTCAGTTAATCAGTTAGAGGGTTGGACTTTGACTAGGCCATCTCTGATGGTGGCCTGGTTGGTTGTGTCAGTGGTTGTATTGGACTCTAGAACAGTTTGGTCTATAGAGGAGCTGATGGTGGTCAGTACGGATCCCGCAGCATCACTCCTCCTCCACCGTGCTTCACTGACCGTCCCTCTGTCTCTGCAG